GTGTGTGTGTGTTTCTGTGTGTGTGTGTGTGTGTGTGTGTGTGTGTGTGTGTGTGTTTGTGTGTGTCAGACTGTCAGACTGGCTGTCTGACTTTTTGTTTTCCTGCAATCAGAGCGGTCAAACGTGTCACAGATCGGCGCTGTGTTTCTCAGGTCCGCAACAACAGGATCTTTTTACACCTTCTTCTACGTCTCGTTGTTTTGGACGTTTCCGAGAAAGAAAAAAAAAGTTATAGATCTAGGAGTTCTGGTGCAGTTGTATTCTTCTCCGTTCAAGTTTTTTTTATGTCATTGCGTGTGGTGGTTGAAGGGAGCCAGTTGAAGGTCATATTATACAATAGTGGTGTTGTTTTTTTCATTGTTGTCTCTGCATGTCTTCCCCCCCCCCTCCCAAATAAAAACAAAGTTCAGGAAATGACCGTTACTCTGCCAGTGTGCTTCTCTTTCTCGAACACCAATGTTATGATCATCCTATTCTGCTACTCTCAGTATTCTCTCGTGTATTTGTGGGTGCATGTAGCATGTATTAGTGTGTATCTGTTTGTGTGTGTCTTTGTGTGTGCATTTATGTGTGTGTATGTGTGTATGTGTGTGTGTGCATGTATGTGTGTGTGCATGTATGTGTGTGTGCATGTATATGTGTATGTGCATGTGTGTGTGTGTGTGAGTGTGTGTGTGTGTGTGTGTGTGAGTGTGTGTGTGTATGTGTGTGTGTGTGTATTCGCATGGAGCACCAAATCGTATCTATCTGCCAAGCCAATTTCCCAGTACGAAAAGAGCCGTATCGTTCGTGACCACACAATCCTTCGCTTTTATCCAAATTGAAATTACATGACCATCTTGTGTTGCAAGTGCCATAAAACTCTTACTAAAACTTGTTTTTTTTTAATTTGAAATAAAACAATCGTTCTTTCCTTCCTTCCTCAGAGGGCGCCCCCCTATCCTACAAGGAGGACCTGGTGGCCGAGATCAACTTGATGAAGCGTATCGGCAGCCATCCGAACATCGTGTGCCTCATCGGAGCCTGCACCATGTCGGAACCTATTGCCCTCGTCATGGAATACGTTCCGTATGGGAATCTCCAGAACTTCTTGAAGTGAGTGCAACAACCTGTTGAGTTTAGTTCTTTGACAATGTGAGTCACTCTAAAACACCTAAAGATGCTCTTTTCTTCTTTCTTTCATTTTTTTTTTGGGGGGGGGGGCTTTTAGAAAAGAACCCCAACTTCATTATTCAAAGAGATTTTCTGATTCTGTGTTCTCTGTCTGAAACTTCAAAAGGCAGATTTATCATATATTTCCCCATTAAATACGCACCACCAATATATATACACACGGGCAAGCAAACAGATATAAAATATTGAGGTAGATAGAAAGAGAGTGAGGTAGAAAGAGAAAGAGAAAGAGAGAAAGGAAAAAAGAGAGACTGAGATCCGAGAGATAAAGAGAGCCCGTCACACAGAAAAGAAAACACGACCTCTTTGAGGCGGGGGGGGGGGTTGCTCACAAGCATAATATTATTATCTTATTTGTGAAAATGTTATGTTTTGATTTAATTTTGCCATTGAAAAAACCCCAGCGAAGTAACTCAAAATAAAACACAAAACAAGGTGTACAGGTTGCAAATCTTAGCCAACAGAACGTAGACAACGATTGCGCAAAGGCGATAACAGAAGCGTTCAGAAGAGCCAAAAAAAAAAAGATAATACAGTTTCTCAATTGATTTTGTAACAACCCCATTATGCTCAACCCTCCAAACTTGCTGGGCGGGGACCACCGTCTCTAGTGAGGTAAAAATCTTCACATGTACTGATTACCTGAAATTATAGCCCTAACCTGTTGGCATGTGCCTCATTTATCTTTCTTCTGCTCTGTCCCGAATCCTGTTGATGGGGTCTGTGCCGAGACAACAGATACGTACGTTGTGCTCTTGTTTTGGCCCGCGGTTTTTACTTTCCCTCGCAGACAGCTCACTCTGTGTGCGTTTATTTCAAATTCGATGAACTTTCGTCCTCTCACACCAGCACAAACATGGCGTATTTCTCCGTTCTGGAAGGTGTTTGTGTGTGTGGCGGGTGGAGGGGAGGGGGGTGTAAGTTCATTTCTCTGTAACAGAATTTCACCTCACTATCTTTTATCAAGCCCCTTCGTTTAGCCACCCCACAACCAAGCACCTCTCATTTGTTGAACCCGAGTAGCTACAGGAGGGGATTTATTGATGTTACCCAACCTGGTCGCTGAGAAATCTATCCACACGTTCCCCTTTGTACCTACGGAGTTTCACCAAGATAGATTTGAAGCTCTCTTTCATAAACATCAACTTTCTCAAAGATTTTCGTTTTCAAAGGGGTTGATGATCATGATACTTTGTGTACAAGGATGGCGACACTCAAAGGTCAATGAAAACGTCTAGCAAAAGAAATGTTCGGTTCTTCTGCTCATGCCTATTGCTTACCGTACGCGCAAGTGATGAAAAGGTTTGTGCCGTCATCAAAGACAAAG